ATTGATTGATGAGCATCAATCTACACTGTTGGGATACGATGACAACCAAGTCAGCGAGCCTGACCACCCGATCCTGTTTGTCGTCTTACATGGGTTGCTGAAGATCAATTTCACCCCGGATCTTCACTGGTCGTTAGTGTTAATGTTGTTAAGACACGTAGCACTCGCTATCAGGCAGTTTTTGTGACAAGGCTATATTTGGTACTGTTTGTTATTCTATTGGTAGCCCTGTGGTTTAAGGCCTAACTGGTTGCGTCCTTCAGCTACCAACATCATGGGTTCTAATCTCAGAATCACTCAGCTTATAATCATTGGTCTAGGAGCATCGCCCGAGAGTATCACTATTCTTGGGTTTCACCGTGGTGTCTTAGATGACGAGACCCGTGAAGAACCGGGTTAGAATAGGTCTTCAGCAACCATTGTTTGTCGTAAGAAGCGACTAACAGGATTACAAACCGCCGTTTAAAGTTGAAATACTGTTGACTGGGTATTTGGGCGTTCCTCCCAAAATTGTCCCCTCAAAATTAGTTTTTTAACATATTTTCATATTATCCATAATATTGGCGTCTGCCCAAACTGCCTTCATTGTGTATTCCTGCGTACATGGTGTCTTTCATGCAATGTAATGTTTGTTGGACAATGAAAGTTATAAAATACTACCAAGTATTTTTTTCATATCAATACACCGCAATTGTTTTTCACTTTGTGTGAGTTCATTGGAGTAAAAACCTTCCTCGAGTGAAACTAATCCGTCAATGTTACGTCATTTCATCAATACGGTCTCGTGAATAATGTAGAATGTCAACATGTGAGAGGCCTCTCGTCCAATGGAAAAGCCGTATATCGTCCAAACTTCCCATGAAAAAAATATTTCCACATACGTATCTGCAAGTTTTGTTTGTTTGGTTTTTTTCGTTGCTAAACGCCGTAGTCAGCAATATTCCAGCTATATGACGGCGGTCTGTAAATTATCGAGTCTGCACCAGAAAATCCAGTGATTGACATCATGAGCATCGATCCACGCAATTGGAATACGATGACATGCTTCAACTAAGTCAGCGAGCCTGACCACCCGATCCCGTTAGTCGCCTCTTACGACAAGCATAGTCGCCTTTTACGACAAGCAAAGTCGGTATCTGCTAGTAAGCCCGTGAGTGTACCATCCTACATTAAGTAATATTGTGTTACGAGTGAGGGTGAAGCAAGGGGGTATGCCTCAAAACCACTCGCACAATTAAAATGGATTACACAACAATCTAACTGCAGTTCAGAAGAATTTAATTCTACACTAAGAATAATTCATTCCACACAATACTGGCGAACATATCAACGAAGGGCGCCCTAGCAATACTGTCGGCAAAGCAATATGGCAATATTAATATGCAAATTCATAATAAACCAGTGATATAATTCTCCGAATCCGCGCCAGACATCGTTATTTCACAGCGGTACATTAAGCATCGACATGATCGCTGTTCTCTCATCCCCGACATGGGTGCAAATTCACAAAAGTTAATGGGGACCTCAGTATAGATAAAACAGGAAGAAGCAACAATCGAAGCTCTGTCACCACCAAATTGCAAAAACCTCTGCCCTACTACAACAATCACAAACATTATTCAAACATACATCAGCACATATAACAATTGATAATACGACATTTAGTTTCTACAAGTTTTTTAATAGATGGTGAATGACATTTTCACCACTTCTATTCAGTAATGTTTGTCACGGCGGGTAAACAATTTGAAAGAGATTCGCATTTTATATGTATTCGTGTTCAAACTCAAAGCTGGATCTTCCGCGTGACGAGTGAACGTTTGGTTGCTTGGCGTGTCGTGGTAACCCGATTGCGTGAGACGTTGCTCATAACATCAATCAATGGTTTGTCTAGTTCAGCCTCGATTGTTAACATGCCGCGATGGTGCAGTGAGTGAGTGTGGTTTTACGCCGCTTTTAGAAATATTCAAGCAGTATCACGACCGGGGACACTAGAAATGGACTTCACACATTGTACCCATGTCGGGTATCGAACGAGGGTCTTCGACGTGACACGCGAACGCTTTAACCCCCCCCCCCCCCCCCCCCCCCCCCATGGTACAGACGCTGTAATGCTGACTGCGGCCTCAAACAACAAAGAAACAAACTCGTAGTTAAAGCTCTTTCAGACACACACGTACGTCATCGTGTCATTAATCAAAACCTGCAAGTCATGTCCACTAATTTTGGTAATTAATAATTCAAAGTTATCTGTCGATTAACAATGGACGAAAAAGACCCCTCGTGGAAGCTCGCTCTTCTGAACCACGTAATACGTAGATCCTGTTTGTGTGAAGTTGGAAATATCGGCCGTTCCGTTCTTGGAAGTGCCGTTTGAAGGAGTGTTGCAGCAAATTGATAACATCTTTCTCTTATTTATCACCTCGTTTTTAGGTGGTAAAGAAATCACATTTATTGTCAAAATAACCTCATTGGCAAACCCACGCCCTACCAAGATTGTAAGAGGGGAAAATAATGAAAGTACAATGTATATTAACTCTTGATGCATGTGTGACCAACCAGCTCCCAAACATCAGGTCTGTCGGAAGAGCCGACGAATCGTGGTCGCCTGGTTACAATCAGTTACCTCGTTGAGCGTGTCGTTGTGTCACAACGATGTGAGTCATTGTTCATGCTGTCAACCACTGGTTTACCTGGCCCAGATTCGAGTATTACAGGTCATGATCACGCTATAATGTTGCAGAACGACTTTCACTCACTCACTTTATCCATGTCCATAAGTTTTGCTTTAGTAATATCAGATGCATCAATCAGTCAAGAGAAAATACCCATGGGTATTCAAGGTTAGAACTGGTCCGAAGTAACCAATTCTTGTATTAAAAGGCGACTTAATGGATCGGTGCGCTTGCTTGGAGGCTTTTCAGATTATGTGTCATCGATCTATCCCGACGTTGCTCATAATATCAATCACTGGTTTATCTGGTCGAGACTCCATTATCTCCAGGACGTCGTATAGGTGGAATATTGCAGACGGTGGCGTTAAACATTAAACCGACAAAAACAATAAACATAAATATTTTTTATCGCCTTAAATAAACATATTACTTCATGAAAAACTCAAACGATCAACAGCCGTGATGGAAATATTTAACATTTATTCATAACAATTGTAAACAACATAAATATTGCACGTAGAGATTTGGCTTACATCCATTCACACCAGGTTGACCACGTAGTAATTTGAAAAACATTCTTGGCTTGAGACTGATTTTAACATTACGACACTCCAGAGTTAAAAACATTCACACTAGACGTCGAAATAATTAACAATGTATGTGTCCAAACACTTAAAGGGGGAAGTTGTTATCAACAAGTGTATGGTATAAGGTTACGTAATGTGAGCTAACTTAACTCCTTATGACATATATTACGTAACATTGCCGTACAACACGTACATGTCCTGCCCCGTACATTGTCTTCGTTGATTAAAATTCATACGCAGTGACCTTTTAATACACAATAGAACACCAGCTTCCACGAATAGCCGCAGAGATTCTGTGAATCTTTTCCCAAAACATCCTTGATGACCATCCAGTAAGCTCGGCTCAAATCACCAATAAATTAGTTCCTCTAATAACATAACCTTTGGTTCCGGATACTGTTCACTTATATCGCCATTCCCCTTTTTTGACAACCTGCCAGAACTTGGTTACTGTGTTCTGTTTGGATGATGCGTCGGCTTTAGGAAGCAGCCTCGTGCACAGACACAAACCAGGGTTGTCATAGGAACGTGACAGGGAAGCGCAGATTTTCTCCAAATCCTCACATCTACCCAGAAGAGCTGCGTCGGAGGTGCTCAGTGATTCCTGAAATAGTCAAAGGGAAGTAACTCTTAAAGAAGCATCATAAAATACTCACGGCAGAGTTTTGTCCCTTCATTAGTATCGCCACCTATTAGTATTAATACTCATATTATGTTTGATAAAGTGAACAACGAGCTGCTACAGCAAGCATACAACGTATTTATGAAGTACAGACATACTTTAGTTTACACCCTACCCCGTGGGACTCCGAGTTCCCTACCCCGTAGGACTCCGAGTTCCCTACCCCGTAGGACTCGAGTTAGAATAGGTCCACAGCTTTCTATGCTTGTTGTAAGAGGTGACTTCATGTGACATTGAACTTTTCATATCACTCAACACTTGGGCGCATGTTATTTCTTTGTTGGTTCGTTGTTTTACGCCGCACACAGACACGCCAGAGATCTTTACCAACTCTCTGGGTCGCCGAAGTTGGTTTGGCGGCCTATAAGCAGTTGACAATCATGTGACTGATATTATGAGCAATGGTCGTCGTTGACGCTTTATCAACCAAGTCAGCGAGCCTGACCACCCGATCCATTAAGGCGCCTCTTACGACAAGCATTGGTTACTTGGGACCAGTTTAAACCCGCGGCATCAGGCGACTAACGGAATCGCCTGGTCAGGCTCGCTGACTTGGTTGATTCATTTTATCGTGACCAAATTGCGTAAATCGATGTTCATGATGTCAATCACTGGATTGTCTGGTCCAGACTGGATTATTTACAGACCTCCGTCATATAGCTGGAATATTGCTGAGTGCGGCGTTAAACAACAAACAACCAACCAATCACCCAGTTTGGTCGCCGGCTGGGCACGGCGTGCTGGGGACACATCCTCCCTAATAGGAAGTCTTACCAGTTATCGGCTATACTACGTGCAAACGTTATACAACAGTATAACTAACTTACTTGGTGATATGTTTCCGACGGTATAAACACGACAGGCAAATGCAACTTGCTTTCACTGCGATCCCAACGAACTATAAAATGATTCAATTCGTTTGCGGTATTTCACTTACGCCTAACGGCAGATGTATCTAATGATTTTAATTATTCTAATGTGTAGATTTAATGTATCATGCCATATATGGCCTTAATGAATAAAGATTGATTAATCTACACCACTATTTAACCGCCCTTGCCATATAAGTGAATGATAATATCCTACATTCACCAAGAGCCATATTGTTGTTTACTTTACCAACTGTTAAGTACCATTTACATATTTTGGTATGGAAATTTCCTGTTTTCTGGCAGAAGTACCCTACACTTCAGATCCATAGTAAAGAAATGGAAGAATCATTGCATCAAATAGCTTAAACAGATCAGCATTTGAAATATTTGGCTGTCAGGTTAAACAATGTTGAACCTTGGTCCAAGAGAGTATAGGAGTCAATACAATACAACTGTGTACCTTCAAAATGCAATTATTCGTTAAGGACCAGAATGTCTAAAGAACATTTTATCAGTTTTATTTCTTTCCTCCCACATGAAGCTGACGCGATTTGATATAACTCGAACGCTGGTCAAAGCTGCGTTAAACCCAACTCACTCACTGACTTTGTTTTACTTAGATGAACCCTCACACCAGTCTGTCCACCGGCTCACTCTTTCCATCTAACCCCATCTGTAACCTAGTGTTGTCAGCAGGCCGGAAAGGCCATCACACTACATTGATGTCAAGGGTGGCGTTTGTTTATGAAGATTGTCTTGGGTGTGTTACATTTAATAGAAGTGTTTATAGTATAGTGTGGGAACAGGATATGTAACTTTAATTTCACATAAAACAATTGATAGATCTTAGGCTATATAAATAAAAAATTCCAGATGTATACATGTATTTGTATTCTTTAACATGTTACTACATCTTCACTAATGTGATGCGATAAATGTTGACACAGTTGTCTGAAATGCTGCTTTTATAGCAAAATCATTCTGGTTTTAAGTTAAAATAGAAAGCATCAGTGAAAGATCTCCGTGTTTTATACTCACGTGTATTTCTTTAAAGAAACCTCAAACATGATCGTTTATGATATAACAGAGACAGGAGTCGCAATACACACTAACAGTTTAGAGAATGTCATGTGGTTAAAACGCTCAATCAGTTAAACACAGCTGTGCACTGACATGAATGCAGCCAACTGGTCACAGGAATGAGATAGGGGGAGGGAGATAGGGGGATGGTCAAAGGGAAGCAACTCTAATGGTAAAGCGTCGTAAAATCTTATGAAATAGCAACGTATTTGGATTGTCATTGATTGATTCTGAAAGAACCAACAGGGTAATGACAACACATGTGAATAGGGTGGAGGATGCGGTAAGGTAGTGGCAGCAGAAGTCGTCGTTGAAGCGTGAGGGATATCGGTAGAAGTTGTTGTGTTGGTGGGAACACTTGCAGCAGAGGTCGTCGTTGAAGCGTGAGGGATATCGGTAGAAGTTGTTGTGTTGGTGGGAATACTAGCAGCAGAGGTAGTGGCAGCGGAAGTCGTCGTTGAAGCGTGAGGGATATCGGTAGAAGTTGTTGTGTTGGTGGGAACACTAGCAGCAGAGGTAGCGGCAGCAGAAGTCGTCGTTGAAGCGTGAGGGATATCGGTAGAAGTTGTTGTGTTGGTGGGAACACTTGCAGCAGAGGTCGTCGTTGAAGCGTGAGGGATATCGGTAGAAGCTGTTGTGTTGGTGGGAACACTTGCAGCAGAGGTCGTCGTTGAAGCGTGAGGGATATCGGTAGAAGCTGTTGTGTTGGTGGGAACACTTGCAGCAGAGGTCGTCGTTGAAGCGTGAGGGATATCGGTAGAAGCTGTTGTGTTGTTGGGAACACTAGCAGCAGAGGTAACGGCAGCAGAAGTCGTCGTTGAAGCGTGAGGGATATCGGTAGAAGTTGTTGTGTTCGTGGGAACACTAGCAGCAGAGGTAGCGGCAGCAGAAGTCGTCGTTGAAGCGTGAGGGATATCGGTAGAAGTTGTTGTGTTGGTGGGAACACTAGCAGCAGAGGTAGCGGCAGCAGAAGTCGTCGTTGAAGCGTGAGGGATATCGGTAGAAGTTGTTGTGTTGGTGGGAACACTAGCAGCAGAGGTAGCGGCAGCAGAAGTCGTCGTTGAAGCGTGAGGGATATCGGTAGAAGTTGTTGTGTTGGTGGGAACACTAGCAGCAGAGGTAGCGGCAGCAGAAGTCGTCGTTGAAGCGTGAGGGATATCGGTAGAAGTTGTTGTGTTGGTGGGAACACTAGCAGCAGAGGTCGTCGTTGAAGCGTGAGGGATATCGGTAGAAGTTGTTGTGTTGGTGGGAACACTTGCAGCAGAAGTCGTCGTTGAAGCGTGAGGGATATCGGTAGAAGTTGTTGTGTTGGTGGGAACACTTGCAGCAGAGGTCGTCGTTGAAGCGTGAGGGATATCGGTAGAAGTTGTTGTGTTGGTGGGAACACTTGCAGCAGAGGTCGTCGTTGAAGCGTGAGCGATATCGGTAGAAGTTGTTGTGTTGGTGGGAACACTTGCAGCAGAGGTCGTCGTTGAAGCGTGAGGGATATCGGTAGAAGTTGTTGTGTTGGTGGGAACACTTGCAGCAGAGGTAGCGGCAGCAGAAGTCGTCGTTGAAGCGTGAGGGATATCGGTAGAAGTTGTTGTGTTGGTGGGAACACTTGCAGCAGAGGTCGTCGTTGAAGCGTGAGGGATATCGGTAGAAGTTGTTGTGTTGGTTGGAACACTTGCAGCAGAGGTCGTCGTTGAAGCGTGAGGGATATCGGTAGAAGTTGTTGTGTTGGTGGGAACACTAGCAGCAGAAGTCGTCGTTGAAGCGTGAGGGATATCGGTAGAAGTTGTTGTGTTGGTGGGAACACTTGCAGCAGAGGTCGTCGTTGAAGCGTGAGGGATATCGGTAGAAGTTGTTGTGTTGGTGGGAACACTTGCAGCAGAGGTAGCGGAAGCGAATGAGGTGTTGTGCGTCAAGGTGGTGGACATGGTCAAGGGGAAGCAACTCTAAATCAAAAGTGTCATAAAATCATACGAAATATATACATAAATATTTATATATACCCGCCTCGGTTGATAATACATTTAAGTCTTACATCCACGTCTCCTTAATTGGGACATGCTCCAAAATGTCGTGCCTTCAAAGAAATACTTCTAAATACTAGCCGCTTATGGGGATCTGTGCAGTTCTGCATTCGGGAAATCTGCGATTTGATCGTTTTCACTGTCTGAGTCATAGCTTTGTATAAAATCAATTGTAGTTGTGTTAAATCAGCGTAAATATTATCGAGTGCGACGTTATAATGAAGGTGCTTGTTCTGTTAGCGGTCAAAGGGAGACAACTCAACGGTTTCAAGTACTCATCTCAGAGTTTTGCAGTTAGCGGATTATATGCTGAGTGAACACGGGTGTGGTATCATGGGCCGCACACTGACTGTTTCAGTTTCATTTGGGACAAATGTCCTTTTGCGCTATCAACATACTACATCGATAACACTTGGGGAACTGGGCCTTTGATGGTGAAAGGGAAGTAACTGTCATCTTGTTTACCATTTGCTAAATATGCTTACTTCCCCTTGGAACAAGGGACGTAATTCTTGATTTACTGTACGCGATTATCTCCCTTTGAGGACACACGCCGTATGTGAAGTTTTAAGCGAGACACTTGAACAAACACAATTATACCCCTTTGACCACAAACTAAACCACTACCACGTACTATTTGTACATAGTACTTTCCTTCGTATAAGTGTGATTAAAGGATTGACATATTTTCCTCTTAATTCTTTCAACAACGGAATGTTAAAGGATATTTACATCACAAACTGAGTTTGCTATTCGGTGAGAAAATGTGCGAAACGTATAACTTCTTCAATTGAGTTTATTGTTCGCGTTTAAGTACTTTCATTTTTTCATTTTTGTGAGACTTTTCTGTGTTTAAGATATTCGCTGATACTTCGTTCCTTTTAGCGGTATCGTGACACTGACAACATCACTAGAGTTGAATCTTTCTCCAAGATAAATTGGGGATTTCGGTAGTGGTAGTGACAGTACTAGAGGTAGTAACGATGTAGGTGTAGTGGCAGTGACAGTACTAGAGGCACTAGTGATGTAGTTGTAGTGGTAGTGACAGTACTAGAGGTAGTAACGATTTAGGTGTAGTGGTAGTGACAGTACTAGAGGCACTATAGTGATGTAGTTGTAGTGGTAGTGACAGTACTAGAGGTAGTAACGATTTAGGTGTAGTGGTAGTGACAGTACTAGAGGCACTAGTGATGTAGTTGTAGTGGTAGTGACAGTACTAGAGGTAGTAACGATGTAGGTGTAGTGGTAGTGACAGTACTAGAGGCACTAGTGATGTAGTTGTAGTGGTAGTGACAGTACTAGAGGCACTAGTGATGTAGGTGTAGTGGTAGTGACAGTACTAGAGGTAGTAACGATGTAGGTGTAGTGGTAGTGACAGTACTAGAGGCACTAGTGATGTAGTTGTAGTGGTAGTGACAGTACTAGAGGTAGTAGTGATGTAGTTGTAGTGGTAGTGACAGTGCTAGAGGCACTAGTGATGTAGTTGTAGTGGTAGTGACAGTACTACAGGCACTAGTGGTATAGTGGTAGTGGTAGTGACAGTACTAGAGGCACTAGTGATGTAGTTGTAGTGGCAGTGACAGTACTAGAGGTAGTAGTGATGTAGTTGTAGTGGTAATGACAGTACTAGAGGCACTACTGATGTAGTTGTAGTGGTAGTGACAGTACTAGAGGCACTAGTGATGTAGTTGTAGTGGCAGTGACAGTACTAGAGGTAGTAGTGATGTAGTTGTAGTGGTAATGACAGTACTAGAGGCACTACTGATGTAGTTGTAGTGGTAGTGACAGTACTAGAGGTAGTAGTGATGTAGTTGTAGTGGTAGTGATGTAGTTGTAGTGGTAATGACAGTACTAGAGGCACTACTGATGTAGTTGTAGTGGTAGTGACAGTACTAGAGGTAGTAGTGTTGTAGTGGTAGTGACAGTACTAGAGGCACTAGTGGTGTAAATGTAGTGGTAGTGACAGTACTAGAGGCACTAGTGGTGTAAATGTAGTGGTAGTGACAGTACTAGAGGTAGTAGTGATGTAGTTGTAGTGGTAGTGACAGTACTAGAGGTAGTAGTGATGTAGTTGTAGTGGTAGTGACAGTACTAGAGGCACTAGTGATGTAGTTGTAGTGGCAGTGACAGTACTAGAGGTAGTAGTGATGTAGTTGTAGTGGTAATGACAGTACTAGAGGCACTACTGATGTAGTTGTAGTGGTAGTGACAGTACTAGAGGTAGTAGTGATGTAGTTGTAGTGGTAGTGATGTAGTTGTAGTGGCAGTGACAGTACTAGAGGCACTAGTGATGTAGTTGTAGTGGTAGTGACAGTACTAGAGGTAGTAACGATTTAGGTGTAGTGGTAGTGACAGTACTAGAGGCACTAGTGATGTAGTTGTAGTGGTAGTGACAGTACTAGAGGTAGTAACGATTTAGGTGTAGTGGTAGTGACAGTACTAGAGGCACTAGTGATGTAGTTGTAGTGGTAGTGACAGTACTAGAGGCACTAGTGATGTAGTTGTAGTGGTAGTGACAGTACTAGAGGCACTAGTGATGTAGTTGTAGTGGTAATGACAGTACTAGAGGCACTACTGATGTAGTTGTAGTGGTAGTGACAGTACTAGAGGTAGTAAATGTAGTGGTAGTGACAGTACTAGAGGCACTAGTGGTGTAAATGTAGTGGTAGTGACAGTACTAGAGGTAGTAGTGATGTAGTTGTAGTGGTAGTGACAGTACTAGAGGTAGTAGTGATGTAGTTGTAGTGGTAGTGACAGTACTAGAGGTAGTAGTGATGTAGTTGTAGTGGTAATGACAGTACTAGAGGCACTACTGATGTAGTTGTAGTGGTAGTGACAGTACTAGAGGCACTAGTGATGTAGTTGTAGTGGTAGTGACAGTACTAGAGGTAGTAGTGATGTAGTTGTAGTGGTAGTGATGTAGTTGTAGTGGTAATGACAGTACTAGAGGCACTACTGATGTAGTTGTAGTGGTAGTGACAGTACTAGAGGTAGTAAATGTAGTGGTAGTGACAGTACTAGAGGCACTAGTGGTGTAAATGTAGTGGTAGTGACAGTACTAGAGGTAGTAGTGATGTAGTTGTAGTGGTAGTGACAGTACTAGAGGTAGTAGTGATGTAGTTGTAGTGGTAGTGACAGTACTAGAGGCACTAGTGATGTAGTTGTAGTGGTAGTGACAGTACTAGAGGCACTAGTGATGTAGGTGTAGTGGTAGTGACAGTACTAGAGGTAGTAACGATGTAGGTGTAGTGGTAGTGACAGTACTAGAGGCACTAGTGATGTAGTGGTAGTGGTAGTGACAGTACTAGAGGTAGTAGTGAAGTAGTTGTAGTGGTAGTGACAGTACTACAGGCACTAGTGATATAGTGGTAGTGGTAGTGACAGTACTAGAGGCACTAGTGATGTAGTTGTAGTGGCAGTGACAGTACTAGAGGTAGTAGTGATGTAGTTGTAGTGGTAATGACAGTACTAGAGGCACTACTGATGTAGTTGTAGTGGTAGTGACAGTACTAGAGGCACTAGTGATGTAGTTGTAGTGGTAGTGACAGTACTAGAGGTAGTAGTGATGTAGTTGTAGTGGTAGTGATGTAGTTGTAGTGGTAATGACAGTACTAGAGGCACTACTGATGTAGTTGTAGTGGTAGTGACAGTACTAGAGGTAGTAAATGTAGTGGTAGTGACAGTACTAGAGGCACTAGTGGTGTAAATGTAGTGGTAGTGACAGTACTAGAGGTAGTAGTGATGTAGTTGTAGTGGTAGTGACAGTACTAGAGGTAGTAGTGATGTAGTTGTAGTGGTAGTGACAGTACTAGAGGTAGTAGTGATGTAGTTGTAGTGGTAGTGACAGTGCTAGAGGCACTAGTGATGTAGTTGTAGTGGTAGTGACAGTACTAGAGGCACTAGTGATGTAGTTGTAGTGGCAGTGACAGTACTAGAGGTAGTAGTGATGTAGTTGTAGTGGTAATGACAGTACTAGAGGCACTACTGATGTAGTTGTAGTGACAGTACTAGAGGTAGTAGTGATGTAGTTGTAGTGGTAGTGATGTAGTTGTAGTGGTAATGACAGTACTAGAGGCACTACTGATGTAGTTGTAGTGGTAGTGACAGTACTAGAGGTAGTAGTGTTGTAGTGGTAGTGACAGTACTAGAGGCACTAGTGGTGTAAATGTAGTGGTAGTGACAGTACTAGAGGCACTAGTGGTGTAAATGTAGTGGTAGTGACAGTACTAGAGGTAGTAGTGATGTAGTTGTAGTGGTAGTGACAGTACTAGAGGTAGTAGTGATGTAGTTGTAGTGGTAGTGACAGTACTAGAGGTAGTAGTGATGTAGTTGTAGTGGTAGTGACAGTACTAGAGGTAGTAGTGATGTAGTTGTAGTGGTAGTGACAGTGCTAGAGGCACTAGTGATGTAGTTGTAGTGGTAGTGACAGTACTAGAGGTAGTAACGATTTAGGTGTAGTGGTAGTGACAGTACTAGAGGCACTAGTGATGTAGTTGTAGTGGTAGTGACAGTACTAGAGGTAGTAACGATGTAGGTGTAGTGGTAGTGACAGTACTAGAGGCACAAGGGATGCAGTTGTAGTGGTAGTGACAGTACTAGAGGTAGTAACGATGTAGGTGTAGTGGTAGTGACAGTACTAGAGGCACTCGTGATGTAGTGGTAGTGGTAGTGACAGTACTAGAGGTAGTAGTGATGTAGTTGTAGTGGTAGTGACAGTACTAGAGGTAGTAGTGAAGTAGTTGTAGTGGTAGTGACAGTACTACAGGCACTAGTGATATAGTGGTAGTGGTAGTGACAGTACTAGAGGCACTAGTGATGTAGTTGTAGTGGCAGTGACAGTACAAGAGGTAATAGCGATGTAGGTGTAGTGGTAGTGACAGTACTAGAGGCACTACTGATGTAGG